AGCCAGAGTAAATATAGAAAGTGAATATTTGGTCATTTGTTCGTTGATTTACAGATACGGCCTTTATGGAGGCATTACTTCAAGAACACTCATGGACTTATATTTGTTGTGGATAGTAACGACAGAGAAAGAATATCAGAAGCTAGAGATGAACTCCATCGCATGCTTTGCCAGGTATATTTAGTTTTGTACATTTTACAAAACTTCTAGACAAGATTTCCCATCAGTCGGTTTCTGTGTTGTTGCCTTGGATTACTATCCACGTTTTCAGGATGAATTGCGGGACGCAACACTTCTTGTTTTTGCCAATAAGCAAGATCTCCCGAATGCCATGAGAGCTGCTGAAATCACTGATAAGCTCGGCCTTCAAGCCCTGCATCCACGTCGTTGGTATGTAATAATTTGTGTTCAGTATATACATTCTCCAATTGAAAAAACGAATATAAATCAACAGAAATTTAATTGGTTAAGCTTTTAACTGATTATGAATCGAGCAAAACAAGAATTATTCAATGCAGGCATATACAGAGTACATGTGCAACATCAGGCGAAGGACTCTATGAAGGCCTAGACTGGTTATCTATCAATATTTCAAACAAGGCAAGACATTGAACTAAAATATTTTCATCTTTCTTTCTGTATTTTGCGTAAAGAACTGTCAAGAACTGGACCTATTTGTGTTTTCTTGCAGGCATAAATGCAGTTTAAGGCTACCTTTCAGTATCCATACGACCTTACTGTAAGAACGTGAAAACACTTGTATCGGAAAATTCTAGGACATTCAGGGTTTGTATATATCGCGTTTCGGAAATGTTCTTCATATCCACTAACATCTTGTGTAAAAAGTATCTACTCATATTTCCGGTTTTGATTGTTACAGTCAATGGAAAATGCTATTTGTACAGAACCCCTCACAAGAGAGGGGGGCCACGACCAATAAAAAAATCGTGGGCCGCCTCTTTTGTACAAATAGCATGATCCACAGTCGATTGAGCAATTTTCATGCCATCACCGAAATAAATTTGACCAAAAACACTGTAAATAAAAGGTATACATTGAATTATCTTGTGTAGGATCATAAATTTGTATACTTTTCTCCCATTTCAAATTCATAAAGAGTGGCATTTATATTTGCTTCCACATATCAGATCCATAGAAATTTCTCCCCCGTCTCCAAAAGTGACCAAGGTCACAATATACCATTACTCAGTCAAGACAGCATATATAGTTGGAACATGGGCTCTCCACCAAAGTCCTTACCACGTGTCGTGCATTTGATAAAATGCGAATTCGACATGTATGTGATAGGACATGCTGAAGACTGAATTTAAACAAATAAAAACTTTTAGGCGTGCATATTAAATGTGACCGTGTAAGTTCATTACTGCATATCTAATTATACTCATTCATATGCAGAGTGGTTGATCGATTCTGAACTATTCTAATTCAATTTCTACCTGAAATTTAAGAGGTTGAAGAAAACTTCAAAACACTTGAGGCCCATGTCATAATTTCCATTATGGAGCGGAACTACCTACTTATAATTGCTATTTCTACATCTGGAATCAGTAGGAGCTGAAGTTGTTGAATAATAAAGTAAATTACAGTCTAAAAAGTGTCCAGTTAATTAAAAATTCAAGAACCAAGTTTTTGCTTAGTCAAGAGAATACTATTAAAATCGTCACATTCGATCCTTCCGGACGGAAAACGGCTATGGCTGCCCATATTGCAGCTAGATAACTTCGCAAAACAGTCTTCTACTAGAAGTAATTGGGCCATTTTTCAGTGCCTTTATGCAAAGTATTTCATTAATATTTTTATTTTTTTGCTTTGTGCTTTTTCTTGAAGTACTGTTGATAAGGAAAAACGACAGAGAATACGGAGCCAGCAGAGATACGGTGAATATTAATGTCTAGACATTTGAGAAACTGAACTATTTTCTCAATGTCTTCTTCCCCTGTTACAAATAACATGAACTTATATGTCCCACGTATATTATTACATAGTTTCTGAAATTAATATGGGGTGTCAGATTTCCTCGTAGAAATTTCAAAAGTTGGTGGCACATTGATAAGAATCTGATGATCCAACCGACCCTCATTAATCAAATACAAAATTTTTTTCTGCGAAAGATTTTTGGTTTGATTATTTAGGATTTTGAATTGGCCCTTTCAGATTTATATCAGTGATTATATATCATTGATGCTGAAGGGTCAAACACACAGATAGAGATTGTTTTTGTGCTGGACAGTGTGACGTCTACTGTACCACGAGTTATTCATTGGAAATATTTGGCACATTGACCCTAATTTCTTTGTTCTTTTGTACTATGAACCAAAATAATTAAGAAAATTGAAGAGTTAATGATGAACATCAAGCGTCGAAGGTGTAATTGATGGCCAAGAAGCTAATATCCCTTATATTACAATTCCTGGTTGGTCCCGAGGAATGGTGAGAGTCAAGTTAGTTCGAAAGATGATTATTGTTCAAGAACCTAAAGTTACCGCCAAGAAATATGAAAGTTTATGTGAAAAACAACATAAAAGGATAAATTTATTCTTTACATTGACCTAAAGACAATTTCCCACTTCTTGGAAAGATGATTATCGTTCAAGAAACTAAAGTTAACGTCAAGAAATATAAAAGTTTATGTCAATTTCTTGAAATCATATAAATACACACATTTCCCACTTCTTGAAAATGTGAAACAACTCTCATTTCTTCTTCTTCTTCAAATTATTTATTAGTTCCAACAATAATTTAATTTTACACACTGAAAATTAAATAAAGGTAAACTAAGAAAAATCTTGACAAAAATTAATTTTCCAATAACGTTAAAGAAGTTTTCTTAATCCGTGTGAAAAACGAAACAAACCTATATAATTGGAACGGATGGAGTATGAGATTTGTTATATCTGCTAAGAATCTAGTCAATCTAGATCAGGTAGCGATGGACCAAAAAAATTAAATAAAAAATCAAGTAGCCGAACCAAATTTGTTAATAACAAGGCATAGTTTTTTTTGTCGTTTTTCGTTTTTGTACACTACTACAGTGTAAATCATCTTCTTGAAATTTTTTAAAAAGATTTTGTAACTTATTCCCTATTTTGACATCATGCATCTAAAAGACCAAACAATTAAAAATTATTTATTAGTTCCAACAATAATTTAATTTTACACACTGAAAATTAAATAAAGGTAAACTAAGAAAAATCTTGACAAAAATTAATTTTCCAATAACGTTAAAGAAGTTTTCTTAATTCGTGTGAAAAACGAAACAAACCTATATAATTGGAACGGAGGGAGTATGAGATTTGTTATATTTGCTAAGAATCTAGTCAATCTAGATCTGGTAGAGATGGACCAAAAAAATTAAATAAAAAATCAAGTAGCCGAACCAAATTTGTTAATAACAAGACATAGTTTTTTTTGTCGTTTTTCATTTTTGTACACTACAACAGTGTAAATCATCTTCTTGAAATTTTTTAAAAAGATTTTGTAACTTATTCCCTATTTTGACATCATTTTACGTAGATTTTCTGGTTTGTTAATCGGAACTAAAAAACTTGTTGCTGAAATGACATGGAAACTCTCTTCTCTAGCTGTTGCCAACCATTAACCCCTTCTGTTTCCTCACATGAATACTACTGCTTCAGCGTGGTACAATTTCATACTTTCATCTGCCTTTCTTGACGGGGAGATTAGTACTAAAATAGTCTCACGTTAAAGAGACAAAATATCCCATTTCCTGTGGATGATGGATACAAAATATAGACAACTAATAATGTCCAAATATGTTCTGTGCATCAAATCATAATGTCAAATTCTCCATTCATCCCTCCTTGGATGTACTTCTACAGCTAATTTCATCACCATCATTGACTCAAAATTTCGAATCCATATTTTTTCAAGATGTAGAAAGTATGAATTCTAGAAATCCTGCATTACGAATACACAATGCAAACAAGGAAAAAAGAACTCGAGATTTTGGGGCGATCGTAGAAAAACTTTTCCAAGCAAATCTTGATTTGGTCAAAATGCAGTACATTATGTCGTTCCAGAATTATTGGTTGGGCCCTTCAGACTAGCTACGCCTTTTAAAATTGTTCTCACAAATTATTCTGCAGATTTTCATCTAACAAACCAAAACCATACTGCAGATTCACAGTTATCCCAAAAAAATCAATACTCAACAATACCAAAGTTGATGGATTTTCATGTTCATGCCATCTCATCATATTCCTACCTAAAAGTATAATCATTATAAGAACCCTTCATCTTCAGATAAATTTTTCACATCTCCATCAAGTCGACAACCAAGAATTATTTAAAATCAGAATATGAAGAGTGATAATATATAAAAGCAGAATATCTTATTAAGTATTAAATGATCTTTTTAGCTTTCTTGAATCCCAAATTCAACCAAACCCATAAGTTCAGAAAAATGATAAACTTCAGATTTTATTTCAAAAAAGAATTTTTTGTCAACAAGGTTAAAACCAAGCAAGAAAAGTTAATGCAACAGTAACCTAAATCCCACTGGTAAACAAATTTGTCCTCCCCTCAAGACATCTTTCTACCTTTGATATAATAAAAAAACAGTTAAAACAGCAACTAGTCCATTGCCAACCTGTCCTACATTGAAAAACTTTCTCAATTCAACAATTCCTCCTTTGAGAAAACAACCAAATACTTGGGGACACCCATCCCTTATGATATTTCATCAAAAGTAGGCAATAGGTATTATATTCATGTATGACATGCAATGAGACATTATAGAACCAATAATCTCTCTTTCCATTCTCACTCTCCATTCCCAATCAGAGGCAGTGGAGTCAATTGTTCGACAAATGTCTGATTCATCACATGGGGTTGGCCACAAATACAGTAAGAATTAATAGAATGTCATATAATTGCATTGAATTATGACAAGAACCCATAGCTAAAAGAGAGATTATGAAGTGCCATAGCCAATATTAGATAATTTAGAGGATGAGATTTCAGCGAGGGGTGCTACCCACGCTTACAGACACGCTGCTTAGGGGAGTCAGTCTCATGTGCTGATCCCGAGCTCTGTTTCGCTTAAACAAAGGTTCAGGAGATGATGAAACGGGTGATGAGATGACCCATGAATCGCGAGAGCTATCAGAGCTAAAATATGCATCGATGACACCGTGTGGGCTGCTAGGCACAGACTCAAGTTTGCGTTTGAGGCAGGGCTTGTTGTCATCACCATCCATTGCCTCCCGGATAAGTTTAGAGCATTCATCAATAGATTCCTGTTGTAATTCAGGATAAAACATTCAAGTCTAAAATAACTTCAAAGTCGCAAAGCTTAAACTCAATTTCCAAAACCATGCTAGATATCAAATTAATTAGAACACAAACCTCGCTGATTTTGAGCACATCCATTAGTTGATTTTTGTATTTCATTGCATTGCAAGGCTCAATCTCTCTAGTAACATATATCATTGTTGCGCCAGCAATAACAGATGGAAGAAAATGCACAAGCCTATGATCTGCATTTGGAATATAAAGAAAGCATCTATAAATCATTGCATATGGAAGATAATGCACGAGCCTAAGATCTGTATTCGGAATATAAAGAAAACATCTGTAAACCATTGCACTTATAATTATAGAGAAATCATCCATCCAATTCATATAAAGCAATAATGGCATCAAAATTAACTGATTCACATACCAGTGATGATTGAGAGAAGAAATCTCTCACACCTCTTCATAAATTTCCAGTGTAGGTTAGTCATAAATCCAAATCTCCTTAAACTATGGTCAAAGAATGAAATTGGAGTCACAGGATTCATCTTCCATTTGAGAGTAGAAAGCACCAAAAGCTCCATTCTCTGAATGGTCTTTGCCTCAAACAAATATTTGGATTCTTCCACCTTAAAAATAAATAAATAAATAAAACCAAAATCAATAACAAAGCAAAATCCACATTGGCATTTACATAAACAATATAGTGCTAATACACAAAAGATAAAAGATAAAAGGCCAGTGAATAGACATACTTGGAGATCCAGAAGAAGAGGGACTTGAGTTTCCTCCACCTTGGCAGCTAAAGAAAGACAAGCCACAGCAGCCAATTGACTCATCCATGGTTTATCTTTCTGAAAGCAGAAGCTTGTAATAAACCTATCATAATAGTTCGCAGATAAAACAGCAGTCGTTGCAGTGAATCCATAGTGGGCAATCACCTTTAACATCCATTTTATAGCCTCTTTTCTCACCATTATTAAAGATCCATCTGAGTTCATTTCATTATGACTCAAATGGACCTGTATTTTCTCCTTGGACAAGAGGGTCACCAGCTCGTCATCCTCCCAAAAACGGTCATGCTCAAACAGAAAAACCTTTTTATGAACCTCATTGGAATCCTCTATTTTTGGCGATTGGAAGTCAAAACCACCTCCTAGAACTTCTTCAAAACGCTCTTCTTCACAGTAAAGAGCATCAAACATCGAATTTTGTAAAAGGGATTCTTGTTCATGAAAATGCGAAACCATCTTCTTCTGAGAAGAAGACACTAAAGCCTCTGCTCATTATCTACCAAACAAACTCAAAAGACTAAATCTTGGGCTCATGATAATTTCAATTTTTTTTTCCTTTTTTCCCTTCAAAAAAATATAGAGAGAGAAGTATAAGAAGGGAGTGTAGGAATGGGAGGCTAACCAAAGAAGAAAGCAGGCGAGGGGTTTTATCTGAGAAAGTTTTCACGCCTGTCCTTTTTCCCCTTATATTTGCATCTTTTCTTGATGAATTTATTTGTTTTCAAGATTTTTGTTCATAGCTTTTGGGGGAGATTTGGCGCCCATTAGAAATTGGTATGGTCCAGCCTGCACAGTACACGTACAACTGCAAAGGGTACAACTCATAAATAGCCAAATTCTGCTTACTAGAGTGAATAAAGTCACCCACTCACACCATATGCTAGTCAAACTTTAGTGTGAGAGGCTCTGAGCCAAGATATATTATGGTCTATATACTTCAAATCTTGTTACGAAATGTTTGAAGGGTAGATAAAGAGTAGTTATAAAAATAGTTGTGATCAACATTATTGTTTTCATCATGGGTAAAAATATTCTCTTTTTACTGTAATGAATTTATCGTTTAGTGCAATAATACTGAATTCATCGTTGAAATGAAATAAGTGGTTATTCGGTTGTTAAGCTCGTTAGTTGAGTCTTGTGTTGCAAAAAAACTTGATAGATAATTGCAGCAGCGGTCTCAAACCTTTGAATTTTTTGCAAACTTTACCCCAACCTTCAGTATGTGTCACCAACGATCCCAAACCTTCGAAAAAATAGCGCTTGATGTTCAAATGAATGATTTATGTTAATTTGACATTTAGTTGACTCATAAATTTGACTTCGACCAAATTTAAACCTTTTTTAAAGGATAAAATGGTAATTTTGAATTTAAAAAAAAAAAATCAAAACCCAATTACTATTCATCTTCTCCTTCACACACCTTTCCCCACACCCACATCTTCCTAAACCCAAAACTCGTTGGTCCCATCATACCCCTCTACGTCGTCACCACCACAACCACTGCCCTCATCCATCGACTTTGTCATTGTTCCTGCCAACATCTCCTCCCTAATTCTTCGTTCCTCTTCCTCACACTCCAACAAAACCTATTTTTCATATTACTTTGAGCAAAATGGCAACAACTTTGGCTAGTTGTAGCTACAAAGAATTCACATCAAAAAATGACATAAAATTCGAGATTAAATAGAAAACAAAAAATAATGATAGAACATGTGAAATTGCCTCATCTTTTGCCATTGTTGTGTCAAAATTGAAATTGAAAGCTTGCAATTTTCCCTTGCTTGTGTCGGATTGCTGACCATCACTCGGGCCTGTTGAAGTCCCTTCCATAGGGTTACCTAATTAGTGTGGTTGGTTGGTTTGGATGAAAGGAGTTGTTGTGGTGGCGGCGGTGGCGGCGGCTGTTGGATATGTAAGGGGACAATTTTTTGGGAAAAATGCTAAGTGTGCATAGTAAATGTACATAATGGATGACATAATGTGATGTGACAACCATCATGTTGTTAATGTGAAAGTGTCAGATTTGAATTAAAGGTGTTGATTAATGTCATTTGCAAGTATATAGATCATTATGTAAATCATTATGTACTTGCAGCATCATTCATTTTTTGATTTTGATTTGGTGGGGGTGGGGATGAGTTAGTGGGGTTGGGGTGGGCATAGGGAAGATGATGGGTTTTTATTTTTATTTTTTGGTTTTTACCTTATTTTATGTTTAAAATATAAAGTTACCATTTACCCTTTCAAAAGTGATTTAGATTTAGTCAAAGTTAAATCTATTGGTCAACTAATGGTCAAACTAACAGACATCATTCATTTGGACTCAGGTGCTAATTTTTCGATCACTGATGATACAAACTAAAGGTTATGGTAAAGTCTGCAAAAAATTTAGAAGTTTAGAATCGCTGCTTCAATTATCCCTTATTTTTATAAATAGTGTTATTTATCTAGAATTTAGATGACCATCCTTTCATGTGGCAAATTAGTGGAATTCGAATGTATTTTTAAACATTGGATAATATAGCAGTAACCTACTATTAAATAGATAGACGATCATCGATAATTCAATTTTTATTTCAAGTACTTTGCATGAATTTATTTTATTTTATTTTTAGAGCATGTTTGAGCTCCATTGTCTCAACAAAATACACTTTGAAATAGTATTTTGATGGAGAATGTGTAATTAAAAAATAAGGAAATATTTTAGATTTATGTGTAATATTATTTTATTAAATAATGTGTAATTGAAAATAGGATAAAGAAAAATATATTTTAAAAATAATGAGAATCAAACAAGGTCTTAATTAAATTCCTTGCTTCCAACAAGAGACAATGGGGCCCTAAATTTAATTTAGATGAATTTGTACATTTTGAACAATTTGTTCATATTTGAGGACAATGAACTTGCAAATTTATTTAATCAATTTTGCTATAAATACATTAAGTTTGACATCATGGATGACGTTGTTTAATATGGCAACAATTGTGCCATTGATTTTAACAACACTTATTTAAATCGATGACACAATTTTTCTGTGGTTATGATGGATGCCACGTGGAAGAGCATCAACTTATTATAAAGGAAAATGTACACGTGGCAAGATTGTTCTTATTGAATTAAGCTATATGTACATTCGTTTTGACATTGTTGTTGACATTCTTTCCTATATGTCAAAATCTGCCTAGTGATGTGATAGGGTGATATAAAAATCAATGGTCGTGATAGATACCACGTGAAATAGTGTTAAATTTAATGTAAATGAGAATGTACGTGTAGCATGATTATCAAAGAGAATGTATATGAGTGAATTGTTTCAAAAATCATCGAACTTATACTATGGTCACGGACTGCTTACCGAACTTCATTCTGTTTCACGGTATTCACTCAACTTTGTCATTTACCTCTCCATCCACCACTGTCAAAAAATTCGTTTGTTGGACGCTGACGTGGAGGACGGAATTCTTAGATGGCATCGACGGCTGTTAAAAAATTACAAATCAGCAAAAACATTGTTTCATCACTCATCCAACTTACTCTAGGTCACAATTTACTCATCGAACTTTAAAATGCTTCCCAATGGTCACTCATCTTTGAGATATTGCACTCCATCCATTATCCTTCATATTTCGTTCACTTCGTTGCTAGTGTTTGCATAGAAAATCCACATAATAAGTTACAAATGTTAGAAAAATCACAACTCAATGAAAATATCAATTTACTAAAATCGCCACGTGTGAAACATGACTTCCACGGCCTCATAAACTTTTTAAAAATCCAATAAAGCGTCCTCAATTATTCTTTAGAAATATCACTTTTATAATTCGAATTGTGTGAAAAATAGGTTTCAATCTAAAGCTGAAAATTGGAAATTTAACTTGATTTGTGAAAATATTTTTCTATATTTCACCTATTTTACTTCTAATTGTATTCAATTGATCATATGGTGATTTCCATGTGTTGATGATTTGGTTGAGTTATAATTTTTTTGATGATTTTAATTACCCGTGAAATTTTCGGACAATAAATTAGTAACAAAGTGAATAAAATATGACGAATAATGGATGCAGTGCAATTCTTAAATATGAGTGACTATTGAGAAGTATTTTGAAGTTCGATGAGTAAACTGTGACATAGTGTAAGATTGATGAGTGATGAAATAATGATTTTGCTAATTTGTAATTTTTTAACAGTCGTCGATGTCACCTGGAATTTCGTCCGTCGCTTCAGCGCCCAACAAATAGATTTTTTGACAGTGATGGATGGAGAGGTAAATGACAAAGTTGAGTGAGTACTGTGAAGTATAATAAAATTTGATGAATAATTTTTTTCGATGGTGTAAGTTCTGTGATTTTTGAAAAAATTCACTCATATATAACTTAATTAACGATGATAGATTTACACACTGCTCAAGTAAAAGAAAAACATCACCGTATACCGACCACCTTGATGTGACACACTAATAATTAAAAAATTCTCAAATTGTGATTTAAATTTCTCAGACTCGTCCTACGCTAAGCTACGGAGCGTGTAAACACGCTTGAATTAAAACCACCTTGCGACGAAATGAATGGATAGATCTGGAGAGTGACACACACGGAACAAAAGGTGGTAAAATGAGTATTTTCGAATTCCTTTCAGCTTTGACCACCTCTCAATGGTCTTGTCTTGCAACAGTTTTGGGAGAAAACGTGGGCCGATGCAAAATGAAGGTGTTTGGTTGAAGGTACCAAATAAAATAATAATTATTAGTCTATTAAATATAGTAACAGCATCTCCAAGAAACTCTCTATTTTTAAAGAGCATATTCTATCATTCGAAAGATATCTATAAATTTAAAGAGTTAAAATTTTGAAGTATTCTAATAAGCTCTTTATATTTAACACTTTATTTTACTACTCTCAAAAAATATTTATTTTTTTTCTTATCTTTTATTTTAACTAACTTTTCTTTAAATTATTTTATTGTTTTCTTACATTGAAAATTGAAACATTTTGAATGCATTAAATTATATAGAGTGAGTTTGACTATCTAAATCTAAATTAAAATGTTAATTTACAGAATCTATTGGAGCATAATTTTAAATGTCGACTTTTTAAAATAATGAGAATCTCATGTTTAAAGAGTCTAATGGAGATGCTCTAAGTCCATGTTTGACATAAATTTTTTTTTTTAAAGTTCTTGAATAGTAAATTTTTAAAGAATACGTGGTTAAAAACTTGAAAAAATATTTAGATTTACATGAAAAATATTCTATTGTGAAGATGTATAATTGAAATTAAAAGATGAAAAACGAGTTTTGAAAGAATCATTATCAAAGTTCAATAAAGAAAAACAGAAAAAAAAAATTTCTTTTCAATATTTCCTATTGAATAAACAAAAATGATACTTGTAAAACCATTAGAGGGCTGTAAAATTAGTGGGGCCCACACTAATTAGAGATGGCTGTAAAATTGCA